CATGGACACGTAGGCACACACATGCACACGCATGGACACGTAGGCATGTCGCTGGGCTGATGTTCAGTCATTAAAGCTCTTTTATGATTATTCATCTTAATGAGACGTCAAAGCTGCGGCTTCCACCAAAAACAGGAACAATCACCACAACAGAGAAGCTCAGACGCCGTCAGTCAGCGAGTCTGGTCCAGTTTAAGGACACATTTCTTCATTACTGAGTGGACTCAGCTGCAAAGAGTATGACACCACACCCCAGAGTGCAGACCACAGTTTCCCTGAGCCTTACCTAACATAGCTCCATCTTTGACCCAGAACCTGAGTCCTGATCCTGAAACGGGGCCTTTGAAGAGGAACAGAGCAGGGATGAGCTTCTAGAACAACATCTATCAGTTTGTCACAAACAGCTGGACGAGTTTCATTTCTTTATTTTAGTCTGTGGTTTCCTGTAAGCAGTGACTGCAGTCAGCAAGCTGCAGGCCACAGACGGCTGTTTGAAACTCACACTCACACTCACACTCACTCACACTCACACACACACTCACACACACTCACACTCAGACACACTCACACACACTCACACACTCTGCGTCCCGGGTACATTTGTAGCAGACAAGTCTGAGTACATTTGTCACGTCTCAGTATTTTGTCAGTTTTTCTCCTTAAAGTGTTTTTGGGTGTTGAAGCTTGATTATGAAGGCAAACCCACTGATGAGTTCTAGCCCTGAGTGGGTCTCTGGGGCCTGGTCCACACAGCTGGATGTTTTCATATTAAGAAAACAAAGTGTACGTATCATGTGTGAAAGTCCTCAGACTCCAGACTCCAAAGTGGAGCACTCGCTGCCGCTGTTCCATGAAACAAAGCACGACCGAGTGCCTTCAGCTCGGCTCGCACTGATGCTGTAAACCGTCTTCTGTGAGCTGTAGTTATGCAGAATATGCTGCTGTTATCATGCAGTCCTCATGTCCACACACACTCACAGCAAACGTGCTTCCTTCCTGTCCGTCTGTCTCCAACAGCCCCCCGTCAGAGTGTCAAAGAGAAGAGTTCAGCTGCCTGCAGAGGAGAATCCAGCCGAGCCACAAAGGTAAACAGTCCTCACGCCTCAGAGCGCCGCATCACCAGCTGCAGCTCAGAGGGCGAGGAAAGAAGCATCGTGTTAATGATAATGACAACATTAAACCATTTCCTGCGTCTCTCAGGTGCGTTGCTCCTCTGCGGTGCTGACTACGTGACGGGCTCCAACCTGCCGAGTCACTCAGACCTCCAGCTGTCCTGCTTCACCGGGCAGAGAATACAGGTGTGTGTGTTTTAACATCTTTGTGGGGACCAAAATCCCACAGCATTGAAGGCATTTTTGAGACTCAAAATGTGGTTTTAGTGTCAGGTTACAGCAGACCTTCCCAAAGTGTGGGGCCCGCCCCCTAGGGGGGTGCAGAGCCATTGCAGGGGGGGCGCGGCATGAAAAGGGAAAAAAAACAAAACGCTTGGACACTGCTAGCACGGGGCGCCCACACAAACGCAAAGCAGGAGATGAAGCATCGCTGAATATGTTTCCAAACCAACTTCATTCTAAGCCAAAGACTAGAAAATATGGTGAAGCAAATCTGCCCTTTGGCTTCACCTGCACAGAGTGCCGAGGTAGGTCTCCCTGCAGGATTGGTCTTTCCCTGCATCGGAGCAGCGCTGGGCTGTTCAAATCACAGACAAACAGGATCCCACAGCTGTTTATGTTTTTAAACCCATTTTGCACAGAGAGGCATTTTTTGAAAAATGTATTGATAGCAATGTTGAATATTATTACACAGGAAAAAACAACTACACGTAAAATAATCGACACCGTGACGCCTCTGCCTTTGTAAATGGAGGGACAGTAACTGCGTGTTTATATGTAAGCGTGTAAAACCTGCAGATAGAGACAAAATACTGTTAATCTGCCTGTCTGCAATTCCTCTCATGTAAGCAATAACGTGGCCACAGCGTGACGTGGAAAAAGGCGCATACCTTTGACGTTGCGTGACGAACTCTGTATTCCTCGTCCACACGTAAACGCAAAAAATGAGTTTTAAAAAATCTCCGTTTTCGGTGATTTGAAACGCCGTTTACGTGGACGAAACAGCTGCGTGTTCAAAATCACCCGTGTACTGGTAAAACAAAGGGGGGCCCAGCAAAAAAAGTTTGGGAACCACTGGGTTACAGTAAGGTCATGGTTAGGGAAAGCATCGCGCCCATTAGCTGTCCCCACGAGCTCTGATTACCCGACGTGTTTCTGCACTGATGTGTCCAAAGCTCTGTCTGCTCTGTTTCAATGCTCAGGGTCCGGTGTTTTTGCTGGAGGACAATAAATCAGCCATCTCACTCAACGACGCTTTAATGTGGGCGAAGGTCAACCCCTTCTCCCCGCTGGGGACGGGACTCCGCATCAACCCCTTTTAACACACACGAAGAAGAGGAAGACGGTCACGGCGGCGATGAGACAGACACCAGCGGCTGAAGCTCAAACACTTTTTGCCAACTGAAGCTTCAGAGGAGCTCAAAGCTTTTGTAGATTTTGATATTGGTTAGCTGTTACGTGATGAGAATGTAGCCAACCAATCGTGCTTCACGTGTGGAGGAGGACTGGTGTTGAATGTGTCGTACTGGGTAGGACTCCCGCTTCATTTCCCACAATGTGATCATGTACATACAGGGTATAGATCTGAGTTCTTCTACTGTACAAAGAAAGCACTGGAATAAAGACACCACTGAGTATTTATGGGAGACTTTCTTTGTGTTCGTGTTAATCTTCTCTCAGCTGCTCCCTTTAGGAGTCACCACAGTGGATCACCTGCCTCCTTCTATCCCAGCGTCCTCCTCTGCCACACCAACTCTCTGCATGTCGCCTTCACTGCATCCACCAATCTTCTCTGAGGTCTTCCTCCTTTCCTGCTGGCATGTTCACCTCTCCACCTGTCTGCCTCTCGTTCACACACGTATGTCGTACCTCCACCTCTCCAGGCTCTCCTCCACCTGCTCCCTACTCTCAGAACAGATCACAGTATCATCTGCAAACATCAGAGACTCACCTGTGAGCCTGTCCGTCCCCACTGCAAACAAGGAGCTGAGAGCTGATCCCTGATGTAATCACCACCCCCACCTTGAACCCATCTGTCACTCCTACCGCACACCTCACCTCTGTCCTCACATCTCCTGCACCACCCTCACATACTTTACTGACCCTCCTGACTTCCTCTCTCAGATCTACAAAGACACAATGAAAGAATCTGTCCACACACTGTTATATCATATTAGGGCGGCTCAGGACTGTTCATTTATGTGAATACATACATGCTGGCATCTCCTCAAAATGCTTTATTGAAAGGCAAAGATCCAACAAATTAGAGAAAACACAAATAATCAGACGACCCTCTCCTGGCAGCACTTGGTGACTGGAGGAAAGAAGAACTGTTTTAACAGGAAGAGAAGCGAGGGGCTGTGTGTGTGTGGTTCTGCTGGAGGTTTCTTCCTGTTAAAAGGGAGTTTTTCCTTCCCACTGTCACCAAAGTGCTTCTCATAGGAGGTCATATGATTGTTGGGTGTTTCTCTGTATGTGTTATTGTCCGATCTACCTTGAGGCGACTGTTGTTGTGATTTGGTGCTGAATAAATAAATCTGATTTGAATCGAATCATATTATTTGGGAATTCTACATACAGCAGTCCCTCGTCTATTGTGGGAATAGCCAACTTTATTTTTTACAATTATTACAGATGTTTTAAGGCTGGAAAACCCCTCACTGCACACTTTACACTTTTCTCAGACAGGCATAAACATTTTCACATTTTTCTCTCTTGTTCAAACCTTCATAGAAAAATAAGTCCAGTATTATAGAACGAAACCAAAGATCAAACCCTGTTTTCAGAACATGGGAGCAGAGCAGCTGCCAGAGAATTTAACATTAATGAATCAATAATGAATCAATGGTACGGAAGTGGAGGAAGCAAGAAGAATGAGTTGAGTAAAGTTTGACTTATCTGACTGTTTTAATGCGGTGTGCCTTATGGTCCAAAAAATACAGTAACTTCTACCTTCCCTCAGCATGTCGAGAACTTTTTGTCACACTGCTAGCGATCGACAAGCTGAACACATTCTGTACTGTACACGAGACACGGCACAGGATTGATTGACAACGGTTTACAGCCAATCAGGACGCAGAACACAATGGGCTGTAAAAAAAATAAAGCATGCAAAATTGCGACAGCCGCAAAAGATGAACCGCAATATAGCGAGGGAGCACTGTGCTAACATTACTCCTGAGCTCAGGCTGCAAACTGCTCTGAACACTTGGTTTCTCAGTTTGCCTGGGTACACTCCCTGATACTGTCATTGTAAGAAGACAAGCTCCACCCACTTTCTGTTCAAATTTCAGTGAGGGGCAGCCAGTCAGAAGAAAGCAGAAAGCAAACGTCAGGGACCAATCATTCTACAGACCAAAGACTGTAGAACGATAACTGGAGAGCCAGACCAGGAAAAGACAACGATCATAACCACAAATCATGTCTTTGTGGATTCATTCACAGGGAGCTGTGACATCAGCCTCACTGAACCTCTTTGTTTATACCCGTCTCTTCATGACAACCTGTGACTTCATGCAAACCACACACGGGTTCTTGGAGAGCGCCCAGTTTGGGAAAAAGCCAACATTTTCACCACGGTGAAAGGATTCAATTGGCCAAGGATTTATGAGGAATGTCAACAGTGAAAACAGGGCTAAGGCTGACTGACGCTGTGTCCCAGCCCACAGTTCAGAGGAGATAAAGACACACAAAGGATTGCGCTGTACAAATAAAGTTGCTGCATGCTGCTGCCACAGTCGTTTTTCTGTATTGGACTGACACAGTGATGAGTATCAAATATGTTCCTCCAGCCACACAAGAAGATGATCAGAATAAAAACCAGCTCAAGTCCAGGAAACACATCTGCAGGAGGAATAATTTTAGGGTAGCGCCGCCGTTATTGTGTTTAAATGGGAGATTGAGTTGGAAGCGTAATATTTGATATGAAGAATATCAAAGACTACTAAGCATTTCCACACACTTTCCTATACTGTGGATAAAGATGGAAGCAACAACTTTGAAATTACCCACTGTGTGCAGACTTAATGCCGGTTTTTGGCTCACGCCATCTTAGAGGTGACCTTATGCTAATTAGTGCAGGCACTAAACCTGGAGCTCCGCCTTCTTGGACAGTCTGTTACTACAGTAACCTCACATGATGACATAAAAAATGCTCCAAAAGGCTCCAACAACGGTTCACAGGTCTCTGTTCAGGGACTCCAGTTAGCAAAGGTGAAGCTAGCAGACAGCTAGCAGCTACAGCCGCCTGTGCGGCCATCGGCCTGTTCCGTCAAAGAGGCCACGCCCCTAATTATGCAAACGTCTTGCCCCAGCAGTTCCACGTTCAAGAAGTTAGGGTGGCAAGGCGTCTTTAATCCTTACAGTCCATGTACACGCTTTGCTAACCAAGCTAGCTTGCAGTCTAAAAACTGGATTTTACAAACCAATGGGTGATGTGCATACTGTGACCTCACTCCTCGTGTACCACGTATTGGCTGTGAATAAATATTAAAACACGGAAAATAAACAGACATTGTGAAACTACAAATGTTAGCATACAATTATTGTTTAGGTTATCAAAACTCCATATTTATTGATTTATTTGTCTTTACATGTCACATAAACCAGCTGTAAAAGAGTAACTGTTACAGTTCTTTAAATAACACTAATCAAAGAAGCCGTCATCTCTGAGGCGGACCACAGTGACGGTCCAGCGTTTCCTGTGACGCACAAACAATTAGCTAAAAACGAAAAAACTCATCTGTAATTTTGGCTTGCTGGATATCGTTTGTATGATCACTGTTTTCATGTTATGCAGATGATTATTAAATAAAAAGATTCGAATCCAAACAGACGCAGTTCTGACTGAAGCTCCTGCAGCGTCCACGTGTCGTCCCGAGCGTCTCTGGTGAGCTGCAGTCAGACGGGTTAGAGCGCCGCATCTTTCCTTCAGCATGTGAGTCCTGAGTGTGGAGCTCAGGCCGACATGGGCTCATAGGTGTGGAAATGGATTCCCTTGGAGCAGGTGATCTTCATCACCGCTCCGTGCAGACTGGTGTCCGTGATCAGCCTCATCATGCCCTCTGCTATCAGCGACGGCCTGCAGGTCAACAAGAAGAAAAACACACGCTGTTGTTTTTGCATCACAAATTACGACTTCATGACTTTCTTCACAAATTAAATTTTAACCATTAGAGAAACAAGTCATCCCACAGACACATCATTATCTACAGCATAGGTGTCAAACTCTGGCCCGCGGGCCAAATTTGGCCCGCAGCCTAATTACATTTGGCCCGCGAAGCCATACCAAATTACTATTAGAGCTGGCCTACTATTATACAGCTAATATATATATTGTTTAGTATTAAGGTTTGCTTGTTCCATATTCACTTTTCCAGCAAAACTTATTTGAGTCCATAAGAAAAGATTCATTCTTATATCTGGAGGAAGATTTTTTTTCAATAAATATTAACGTTAGCCCGCGACTTTGTTCCAGTTTTGAATTTTGAATTTAGAAGACATAGCATACATTTACACTGCTATGCTGATGACACCCAGCTCTATCTGTCCATGAAGCCAGATAACACACACCAATGAGTTAGGCTACGTCCACACGTACCCGGGTATTTTTGAAAACGCAGATTTTTCTATGCGTTTGCACCTTCCGTCCACACGTAAACGGCGTTTTTGGTCACTGAAAACTGAGATTTTTAAAAACTCCGGCCAGGGTGGATATTTTTGAAAACTCAGTTTTTACGTTTACGTGTGGACGAGAAAAACGCAGAAAACGCAGAAAACGCAGCATCAAAGGTGTGCGCATTTTTTGACGTCACACTGTGCGCCACGTTATTGTTTCGGTGAAATGAATTTCTACAATACTGTTACTGTTAATTCTACTCTCTGCAGTGTTTAAATGCTTACATATACACACAGTTACTGTCCGTCCACATATACGACTCGTTCTGCTTCTATGCCCCAGCTTTGTTTACTTTTTCCCACCGAGGCTTCTAGACTTCTGATTGGCCAACATTTCTGCACGGTTAGGAATATATCACCACCTGTTGCTTTGGCATGTTCATAGCAGCGTTTTCCTTTATTTCTATGTTTACGTGTGGATGGGATTATTTTTTAAAACGAAAACGGAAAATCTCAGTTTTCAAAAACACCCGTGTACGTGTGGACGTGGCCTTAAACTGCAGGAATGTCTTAAAGACATAAAGACCTGGATTGGGGCTATATAAATAAAACTGAACTTTTTCCTAGCTTTAAAACTGGATTTGAAGCTAAATCGATGGATTATCTTGGCTCCCAGAATAGAATCCAAACTAATCCAAACAACTGATTTCAATGGGCTCTTTAAACTTGCTGAACCTACTGGATCATCCTGTCTCAACCACTTAATTCAAATAATTCTTAACTGGATTTAAATGTGACTCAACAAACAACTGTAACCATAACAACTTGATTCAAATATTTGAACTCGCCTGAACATAAAGGCCGACCCAGCGGGTTACCCTAACAAACTATCCTCCCGTAACTTATCTCCATGATTTAAGTCAAATTAAGAACATTCTTGATTCAAATGTCAACACCGACTACAGACGACTCTCATCTCAAACCCACTGCAGCCACTTCAGTGCCACCATCACATCATATTTATC